TTAAAAATCAAAAGTTTCTGGTAAAACCGGGAGTGATTGAATAAAAATTGTTTTGTCAATAAATGAGCAATTTAGAATACTTGATGCCCACGAATTTTCAAAATCCGTTCTCGAATGATTCAAAGCTCAGAACACCAACTGATTTTTGTGCACTTGTCTGTATTTGTAATTCGTAGAAAACGTAATTGACAACATCTCATTCTGTCGACAGAATCGTGATACATAGAAATGATGATTCAACAGACCCTTATTTCATAGCAACAGTTAATCATCAGAATTGTATTTCGCCAAAGCCTCATCGTATAGGAACGTGTTTCATCGAGTCAGTAAACTATCAGAACCGTAATTCGTCGCAACAGTAAAACATAATTATTGTTCTAAAATCATAAGAATGCGATTCTCACAGGAAGATGTTGCAACAAATGATTTTTCATGGTCTCGACAGAATACTGTTCTAACAGAATACAATTCCGACAAATTAAAGTCCCGATTATTTAATATCATGATGATTTATGGTACTGATTGATTACATTTCTGACAAAATACGATTCTGACAGATTACTGTCCCGACAAAATACGGTTCTGATGAATTGTTTTCTCTATAAAATACGCTTTTGTTGAATTACTGTTTCTTTAGAACGGTTATGATGCCTGGCGTGGATGTTTTGAAGAAATGGTGGATGCGCCAAATTTTCAATAATATGGCGAAAGCGCTTTCGAAATGAAATCTCGCCATAACTGGAAATTCGTTAAATGGAAGTCATAGTGGTCGTATAGCTGCAGATATGGGTGTCCAAATTGAAAATTGAAAATCAAGATGCACACCACTCAGAATGAATCAGCATATTTCCTGAAATCCAATAACATAACTTCTTTATTTGAGATGGTTTAAGAGTGCGACGTTTATTGTTTATGACAAACATCCTGTTGTAACAGCAATTTTCCTTATTTCCTTTATATTTGTCATCCACCGGATCACGGTAAAAGCAGCCTGAACATTTCTCTTGATACACGACTCTTTGTTTTCCAGAAAATAACGAAGGAAAATTACGTTTATTCGACGAAAATTTCAGTGTGGCATTCTGTTCAGCCTGGCGGTTAAACCAGGGAAGAAGAAAACAGTAAAATGATTTCGTTAAGAGTCAAGCTCGAGGATATCTTTGACGATGTAATACACTCACCGGTAAAAAAAACTGACCGTCAAAAAATGCTGCCAAATTAATCGCCTTGTAACTTTCTCAAGTCTTGCCCGATTCTGTTGAAACTCCGACCAAAACGTAGATTAATGTTTCGTAGTATTAGAGTTCCTAAATGTACTTGACACTGCTGTTTTGATGTTTTTTGTATATTACAAAAAACGTCGAAATCAGATCCAGAGGTTCATCCACCTCTGTCTGGCCTTATCAGATACTCTTCAACACCTACAATTAGTCCTTCGAGGAAAATTTCTGGCGATTACTCCAGACTCCTTGAAAAATTTGATCAACTTGATGCCACGGCTGTTGAATGTTTTGATTCAAGCTCGAGGACATACTCGTTATTGATAACATCTAAGTGGTCTACTTTTCGGTCGTTATTGGATCCCAACGTTTTTCTTCGATGGTGAGAGCTGAAAAAATGCGGTGGAAATGAGTGATATCAATTATCATTATATGTTTTTTCGAGTTCTTAAACAGCAGGTTCGTGTAGGTTCTGCAATTTTGTAATATCTATTTTGTTTCAAAACACTTGTATCTTCTCTTGTGACAATTATGAAATACAATTGATTCTTTCTGAAATTCAATTGTGTATTTTGAAATACAATTGATACTTTCATACAAGTGACTATTCTACATCTTTTCAATTGTAATTCAGAAAGAGTAAATTGTCATTCAGAAAACTCCAGTTGTAAATCAGATTTTTTAATTGGAATTTCAAAAGCGTCAATTGAAATTTGAATATCGTCATTTGTAATTCAGAATGCAACAATTGTTATTCAGACTACGTTATTTGTGATTCAGATAAGTAACATGATGTTCAGAAAATATCAATTGTAATTCGGATTAGACAAGTGAAATTCAGAAAATTTCAATTGTAATTCAAATTTGTCGAATGAAAATCAGAAAGCATCAATTGAAATTCAAATATCGATTGTAATTAAGAATGTGTCAATTGGAATTCAGACTGATGGATTCATGAAGGTATTCATGTTGAACCAGTGACTTCAGAAATATAGAATATTTTAATTGATGGTCAATTAAAATCAATTTTAATAGGTGAAATGGAGAAGTTATAAAAAAACGTGATTTCCGAAAAAAATATTGCTTTGTAATCTATTACCTACATTCATCACGCTTGGCTCAACAAGCAAAGGTAACACTGTTCTATATTTCTGAATTAAAAATGGAGCTTCCTGAATTTCAATAGACTATTTCTGAATATCAATTGGCCAATCTGAATCGAAATTGATATTTTCTGAATCCCAATTGACTAATCTGAATTTCAACTAACGCTCTATGAATTCCAATTAACTAATCTAAAATACAGATGCCGTAGTCTGAATTACAATAGACCCATTCTGAATTACAAATGATACCTCGAATGATACATTCTGAACCACAAAAAACACTTTCTGAATTTCAATTGCCGCTTTCTGAATTTCAATTGAAGCTTTCTGATTTCTAATTGATTAATCTGAATTACAAATGACTCCTTCAGAATTTCAATTGACTATAATCTGATAATCTGAATAACATTTGATATTCTCTGAATTTCAATTAACTATTCTGAATTACAAATGATATTGTCCGAATTACACTCGACGCTTTCTCAATTACAATTGGAAAAGGTTTAGAACACAATTAAAGGTATTAGTCTGTGGCCAATAATGGCATTAAATCCAATTATGTGTATGTGTTTAGTTCCTAGCGCCCTATTTAGTGCCTTCTACAAACCTCTCTAGGATATTTCCTTATATATGGTTATCTAATCAGCGGTTCGAAACCATATTTCGGTCTTATCTTGCCAGACGACTGACGCGCTAATTGCCCATATTCGAACGCCTATCGATTGGGTTTCTCAGAGTGATTCGCAAGGCTCACAAATACAGAGTGATATATCGAACACAAAATAGTGTAGATCCTGTTAGACAATGACAATGTTGATGTCCTAATCGTTTATACTCGCAAAAATGGAAGCCAAAATTGATCACCTTGTAACTTTTTCAATTCTATATTGGGTTTCTCAAAGTGGTTTGCAGGGCTCACAAATACAGAGTGATTTATCAAACACAAAATAGTTTAGATCCTGTTAGACAATGACAATGTTGACGTCCTAATCGTTTATACTCGCTAAAATGGAAGCCAGAATTGATCACCCTGTAACTTTCTCAATTCTTGTCGGATTTTGATGATATTCCGACCAAATTGCAGAATTATGCTTCGAAGTATCAGCTTGGATTCAAATTCTTGAGAGAAGCTGATAGCTTGATCGTTGTACAGGGAGCCACAAAAAAGAGCGATCAAGTTGTCTGATTTTTTCAATGGCCAGTTTTTTTTGCTGGTGACTGTATCACATCGTTGAAGATAATCCTCAAGCTCGACTCTTGAGGAAATCATTTTACTTTTTTCTTCTCTTCCGGTTTACCCGCGAGGCTGAACAGCATGCCACACTGAAATTTTCGTCGAATAAACGTAATTTTCTTTAGTTATTTCTAGATAGCAACGAGTCGTGTATCAAGTTCAGGGTGCTTTTATCGTGAATTCATGACAACAATAAACGAAATAAGGAAAATTGCTGTTTCAACAGAATGTTCGTCATAAACAATACACCATCTCAAATAAAAAAGTTATAAGTTATTGGATTTCAGGAAATGATTATGCTGATACATTTCACGTGGTATGCATCTTTATATTCAGTTTTCAATTTGGACACCCATATATGTAGTTATAAGACCACTATGACTCCAATTTAACGAATTTTCACTCATGGCGAGATTTCATTATAAAAGCGCATTCGCCATATTATAGAAAATAGTTGGTACCAGGCGCAGCCACCATTTCTTAACATCTACGCCAAGTCTGAATGCCAAATGATTCATATTATTCAAAAACTCATTATTAAACAGATACATCACGACTCTCGTCAACTGTACAGGGTGGGCCAAGTTGAGCACTCTGAGAAGGAAAGTCCTATTCCCGTTCAAGATATAAAAAAAACTGATGTCGGTGCCTGTTAATCAATTCACATCACAAACTCAAAGGTGAAAACCGCATATCGATATCTATCTTTATTTCAGAGTTACAAGGTGTTTTTCGAAAATGTGAATCTTTGAAAAGTGGCTAAAACTCTTTTTCATTGGCAAAAATTCTTCGTTTTCATTAATACATTTCCAAAGCATCGTGTTTGTCATGAAAATTGATCCTCAGTTGCAAAATATAACTTTTCCTTCAAGAAGTACAAGTTATATTCTTGAACTAGATATAGGAAGGCCAATATCAGTGTCCCGAGAACAGTTTTCATCACAAACTCAATGCTTTGCAGTTATTTTCATGAGAACAGACAATTTTTGCCAAAAAAATATCTGTAGCCACTTTTCAGAAATGCCCATTTTCGAAAAACACCTTGTAACCCCGAAACGAAGACAGATATCGATATGCAGATTTCACCATTGAGTTTTTCATGAGAAGGGTCTAATTTGGCCCACCATGTACATCCTGATTTGTAAATCTGATCAAAACTGTCTCACGTTGAACACTTCGTGATTTCAACTTCAATTTCAGATAGATATTGAGGTCGATGAACTACTGACCAAAACAACAGGTGACATTACGTAATCGACGATTTCTACCGAATCAATAAAATATGCCACATGAAACATAATATACGGGACGGGCTGTCTAAATTTATGCTCCTGACAAAGATGAGAATCAATACTCATGATTCTGGTACTAGTTTTCATGATAATTCTGATTGTCTCTGCGTACGGCTATCAACTAATCGTTTTTTTCTCCTTGTTCTAGGGTTCGTGTGGAATATTACGTGAACGAAAATACTTTCAAGGAACGACTTCAACTTTATTTCATCAAAAATCAAAGATCTAGTAAGTATTTTGTGTATGCATGTATAGGTTAGTGACAATCCGATTTTAGTCATGGGCAATGTTTTTTGAAAGCAAACTCTATATTTTTACTGATATCCTTCAATATAAGAAGACATTATTGTGGAATTGTTAATGATAATGCATCTACTAGTATTGCTCAGTGATGTACTTTTCTGTAGCTGTAGCTGATACCTGATACACAGTGACTATAAAAAAACAAAACTAATTATTGAATCCGAAAGTTTTGGCTTAATTATTTGGCTTTAATTATCCAGTGTAGAAAAGTTTCCCGAGTTCTTAACTTACCTACCATTATTTTTACATTCATCTTATAGGCTATCCATTACAAAATGCTGTATTTTGTGAAATTCAGAAGAGAAAGGGGAATCATAAAGAGAATAGAATCGGGTTGAATATTTTTGAATGATCGATATTGAATAATTTAACACCAATGGATTCCACCTATTTGAGTTTATATTTCATAGCAGTAAACTTGTAAAAGGTCCATAAAATGGTTCGCTCTGCTTGTATTTTCATATGAACTAGAAAATGGAGTTTTGAAACTAGTATTACATCCATGAATTATTTACGAATAAGATGAACAGTGTTACTATGAAATAACCACATACCAAATTGACAATAAATTCTGGGTTCCTATAAAATTTACTGAAAAATCACGCTTAATGTTTTTGTGTTCATTTGTTCAATTTCAGGTCTTAGGATACGGATAGCCAATCTATTTTTTAAGCTACTGACATGCCTGCTCTACATCATAAGGGTTGTTACGGATGTGGACCCTCTACATGCAAAATGGTAAGAACTCCCACATATAATTTTTATAATCAATTCAACTAAATATAACTTGTATCACAGGTTTGTGATTAGGTTTTCTCAATTCAGAATTTCTTTCCACGTCCTGTATGATGAATATCAATTTGTTATACACTCAAACACAAAAACAACCAGATGACAGGGATTGAATGTCTACTGATATTTCTCAGATGTCAGTTCGTTATAGTATAAGTCATATTATAGACATATGAACTGTGTTTATCATGAGAAATTACTGGAAGAATAATTAGACTTCAGGTTACTGAGGAAGGTTTGATATCCGAAATGAGTTCATTATAATAAAGTGATATAACCTGTTTGTGAGAGATATAATTCCCATATCACTGATACGAATGATTTTTTTGGAGTTTCAAGCTCATCAAGTATACTTCTCGTATACATTTCAATTTTCATTCTGATGATGAACATATTGGTGATGTCAATTCTAAATATCAGAGAATTATCATCTTCATGCTCCAGGAAAGTAGTTTTTATATGTTGGCTATTCAGAATGATATTATGTGTATTCACATATTTTTATCTGAAAGAGAATGCAAATTCTCAACTTCAGAAGAATTTGTCTTCAAATTCTTATCGTATGTGTTCAATAGAAATAATTTGATGTTCGTCGTGGCATATAGCCAAGAAAGTAGTTGTTTTCTGTTGAATAAACCGAGAAGAATTGATGTTTTCATCACATAGAGAATGCGAATTCTCAATGTATTTCTTTATATCTATTTTTTATGTAGAATAGAATAAAATAGAATAGAATAGAAAAATATTTATTGTAATAATATAATTATTACAATAGGGGTAAGTTCGCATAAACACGTTCTTCCACGCCCCCTTTACCAGGTACATTCAAGTTAAGATAATTACAAAAAACAAAAATCTAATATCAAATACATAAAAACGATCTAAAATTAATGAAAAAAAAATATATATACACATTAATATCATTCTAAAACTATCACAGATGGTTTGATTCATTGGATTGTCTTGCTAGTAAACTATCCCTGAATAATGTTTCGAAAGAAACCTACCTTGCAACATATCAAAATTATCGATATTATTCATAAAACTGACTGATAGATGAGCAAAGCAATTTTCAAATTTTGATGTTTTGTGTTGGTGAATATCGTATCTCCACATATTTCGAAGTTGTCATGAATCATGAATCATGAATTTCATTTCTTGGGATAAGATAATTGTGCAAATATTCTGGTTTTTTGTCAGTATAGATTCTAAAAATATATACAGCAAAAAACATTTAATATCTGTAATTTGTTTCAAGATGTTTATTATCATTGTAAATAGCAGTAACATGATCAAACTTTCTTACGTTGTATACGAATCGCATACAAGAATTCTGAGCCAACTGTAATTTATTTTTAAGTTCAATTGTCAGGAAGCTGTAGTACACTGTCATACAGTAGTCAACTTGTGGATAAAGGAGAGTCTCAACTAATTTATACTTGATTTTTTCATTGAGGATGAATTTGAATTTATACAATAACTTCAGTTTCATGAACATAATTAGAATTTTCTTATTAACGTGTTCTTCAAAATTGAGTTGAGAATCAAAAATAACACCAAGATTCCGACATATGTTTGTTATGTTATGTCTTCGGGATGAAATCCAGTGTTCCGAAAAACTTTTTTTTCTATTACAAACGATTAAGACCTATGGTGAATTTCTTCCGAGAGCTTCCCGTACTTGGATGTTTTGTACTTGCTATTCGAAAGAGAATTTATTTCATCTCATCATGAAAAGATTCGCATGAGCCTCAACAATGAGCTTTTGTTAGTTACGCGATAAGAATAATCCATTCCAGCATGCTCTCGAATTTGACCTGATATTTATCACAAGATTCATTATTCATACCCATGCAATAGAAATATACTAGAAATGATATTCATCATAAGTTTAGAGGGTAGGGTATCTTCATATAACAAATATCAATTATTTCATGTTCATAATTCAACTGAGAATATTCCTTTTCTATAATTTATTCAAATGAATACAAGAAAGCTCGAAGTCATTTCCACAAATGTTCTTCATTCTATTTATTCCATTTGGAGCATTGTTGCTATCTCGTAGTTATAATTTATTTGTTATACAAATTAGTAAACATTTTATCGAGATTCGAATTTTATGTTTTTCGATTTTCATTGTCGAGCGAACACAATATTCGAATCGTTGATTGTATCTTCAACATGAAACTTCCATTATATCCTTATTGTCGGTTCATATATAACTTCAATACTTCCTACTGAATTATTTGTACTCGAATGATCATTATGATACTATCGTTCAGTTAGGTAGGTCATACTATAATTATTATTATAAAATATTTCTAACAGAGTTGTATCAATTTGAAGTTGGGTCAGTTGAAACTGTATATACAGGGTGTCTCATAAGTGAAGGAACAAAAGAAGTGGGGTGGTTGAGGGGGTCATTTCAAATCAAACTAACCGTATATGTGGTTGTTCAATTGTTAATGGTTCAAAAGTTATCAATGTATTTTCATTTCTATAAAAATAATTATTCACAATAAAACTGTCACATTTGTGATTTTTTCTTCTACAAATTTCCTCCACATGGATGCAACTTTCAACAGAAATAATTTTATGACATGTATTACTCCTTATCATTTACGTGAGAAAAATGTTGTTTTCCTTGAATTTTGTCATCGAATGAAATATTGAAGTCGATTTTCAAATGCCACTAGCAGATTCAAAAACTACCCCACAAAGATAACCAACCATATGGAAAATTTGCCCATTCAATAGAGATTCCAAAATGGTTTAACATATGGGGTTACTGAAAAGAGCCTTTTTGTTATTAATTTTTTTCGAATGGGTCGCACTTTTCAGAAAAAATGAATAACTTTTGAACCATCAACATGGATAACTACATATACCGTTAGTTTGATTACAAATGACCTTCCCGAGCACCCCACTTCTTTTGATTCATTACTTATGGGACACCCTGTATATAGATTTTGAGTGAATTATGGATTTTGCTTGACAAACTCTTGAAATGTTCGTAGGCTCGAGCACATGGTTGATTTTTGATTGTTTCCTCAAGAAACACTAACTTAGCTCGAAAAAATGTTCGAAAATAAATCAATCACTCGTTGTATCACAAGTGAAAATTTCACACCCGTAGAAATCTATTCTTGGTACCAGAACTGCGACCCAAACTGAATTTTTTTATGAATATAAATTCTAAGATGATTCAATTCCCAACCACATTCTGGTGTGAATTCTCTCACCGAATACCACACAAGGTTGAATTATTTCCGGAATTCTTTCCACGCTCAAAAATATCTCGAAAATTCATGAGGTCGAGCGAATTTCCTTAAATAAATCGACCTCTAGTGGTATTACAAGTTAGTGAAAATACAGAAGTGATTTTTCAGTTATGGTTGCCGGCTGGGCAACAAAACGGAGTTCTTGATCTCTGCCAATCTGACGGAAGAGAAATTCCAGGAGAACCCCATCATCAATTGGGACGCCATTGTGTGGGTGAACCGTCCCCTCGAATTGTGGGTGGTGCAAGTCATCCTAGCCATGATCAGTCTCACCGAGGCCGTCCTTTTGGCCTATCTGGGATACAAGGTGAGACAACATTTTTTTCAACCAATTTCAATTGTTCATCCTGTAACTTTTTCAATCCTTGTCCGATTTTTATGAAACTTGGAGTTAAGAGGGGACAAAATAGGATCACAATTCAATTCGAAACAAGATGAAGCGGAAGATTGGAGAATGGTTCTGAATTATTTTCAATAAAAATATTAAAAATCCATACTTGCTTAAAACACTTGTATCTTCTCTTAAAAAGTGGTTATCGACGTGAATCAAGAACCATTGTGTTAAGAAGGAAACACACTTCGATCCAAAACCTGATGAAGCTGAGTTCATCGACTTACCTTTTCCACAGGGCGTTAGGAAGTTGAGGGTGAACAAGTAGCTTTTGTTTTTCCCTGTATAATGATCAAGTCGTCAGTTTCTCTCAGGGCCTAATTTTCAGGCTAACATTCCGAAACATCAATATACGATTTGGTCGAAATTTCACCAGGATCGTACAAGAATTAAAATAGTTACAGGGCGAACGATTTGGCAAAAGTTTTTGGTGCCGGTGAGTGTAGTTATTTGGGATTTTTCTCTTCGTTTTTATAAAATGGTAATTTTGCACTCATCGGATTTTTTTCGAAAATGTCTTTGGTACCTACGTATTTTTGTCTCTAAAACACGAATTTGATAATGATAATGGGAACAAACAACTATTTATCGAGATATTTCACGAAAAAGTTCTAAATGGCATTCTTTTTTCCGCTTGTATTTGGATACGGATTTACTGATTTACAGCTACTTGCTCTTCTGATATTTTCATTGAACACACTTTATACACCCATGATGTACTTCAATAGCACATTTTATATAGGAAAATCAACAAGAAATATGATTTTTTCGTGAGATTTCAAATTTTACTAATTAATCATACCAGCTGACAACCATTCAATTTTAGATGTCGAATGAAGGTCAAGGGTCAACAAATTTCGAAATACATAAACTCCTAGACAGATTGCTTTTGAATAACGCTATCCAAATCGTTTTGATCATATTGTAAAAAATATCATTTGAGTACATCGTGATGGATAAATTGTCCAATGATGATAAAAAAAGGCGAAAAGTTCTGAGACATGCGGAAAAGAAGAAACATTTTTTGATAAACCTCGCCCTGGAAAATTTACACCTCTCCAAAGATTCAGAAAAGAATGGTTTTTCTTTCTTATTTTCCCTGTATATTGAGCTGAAGGCACGCAACTTGGTGAATATTATCCAGTGAAACTACATATCTTGGAATGTTTTCAACCCTGGAGTATGCCTAAAAGGTATCAATCAAAGGGGTTGAAATTTCAACTCCTAAAATATTTTTGAATACAACTTTTTTTTTGAGAAATATTCTGCTTCTAAGAAAACACGGCTGGAAACCCCAATTCATTTATTAATATCCGTATCTCTAATAGTTTTTTCGAAAACTTGAGCATATGCTATGTTTTTTTGAAAGAAACATTTTCATCCAAAAAAATATCTTGGGTATTGAATATTCCAACCCCTTCTAAGCATATTCAGGGTTGACAAATAATATTCACGAAGTTTCGTGTCTTCAGCCTAACATACAGGAAAAATCAAAAAGAAAAACCTTTTTTTCTTAATTTTCAGAAGAGATTTTTTTAAAAAATTCATACCGAATACCCTCCATAATATTCATCACAGAATCAGCACTCAATTTGGTTCGATGTTATTAAGATATAATAATTGACAGTTGATTTATCGTAATTTTGTATCATTTATGCATTAACTGACTATAAAAAAAAACTTATTATGTTTCAAATTGTATTCGCTGAATGCGTGACTTTATTTCAATTTTCGGCAAGTATAGAAAAATTAGCGTTAAATGCAAACTTCGAAGTGAACGAAATAGTGATGAATGATCCATTCGCTCTATAGTTCTACCCGTTTTCCATTTATTTCACTTTGTTCACTGCACGTTTTAGTGAATCACATTCCTCCGTCACAAAAAGTCATTAATCTTAATAGCAATTTATATGTAGGTAGGTTCTTTTCGACCGATGAAAAAATAACATTCACTATAGCGTATTGCCTACTAAACATTCTCTGAATTGAATGATATCACTTTCCGATCAGCTCGAAATACCAATCAGAAATCTAGAAAAGGAACCATTGTTGTCACAGTTCAATTCTCTGTTCAGGAGAAAACATAGAGAATAGTGCACAATTGGAGTACTTTTTGTTTCAATTCTCATCATATCTGAATAACACTGAAAACATTCAGAGGGGGGTTACCATGTGACATTCTAGCAAATAAAGTTCATATACACATGTGTCCTAACTTGCTCCGTTTTTGAAATACAGGATGTTGAAGTTAAAAGTATTAATTGTTTTTATTTATAACCCCCTGTATAAACTTGCATGGTGCCAAAATTCAGTATGGATAAAGACTGACTAAGCCCCAAAATTTCAAAATGATTCTGAATGGGGTTATTGAGTGATCTCAATGGAAGTCTTGAAAACACCTACATCTAAATTTGGAGTCAAATCGAATTTTTATTGTTACCTCAAAAACTAAGCTAGATTCAAAAATCACGAAGAGGTTAGAAAAATTGTTATTTCAATAGTTCGATCTAATAAAAATATGAAATTCAGAAAAACCAGTAGTGTACAATGACATTCACTATGAATATCGATAAATTTACCCACTGTGACGCCACTGACAATATTATTTCGAATCTAATTGCACTAGAAGATGCTCCATATTACTATTAACAAAACCACAACGTTTTATTGAAATTGATGAGAAGACAATCGAGAAATGAATAGAAAAAAGATTTTTCATGGAGATATTTATACCCTGTATCTAGAAAAAGAAGCAAGTTAGGACACATGTTTATTGGTATTGGTATTGGTAGGTTGGATGGTGACAGATGCGCTGCCACCTAATTAGATCTATTGTGCCCCATCTGCTTCTGCTATATCAAGGATTGCTTGTTCATAGCAGCCCCTCGAGATTCAATTCCTTCAGGAATTTGAGGATTTTGAGGGGGTCTAGCTGTGGTATTTCTTTCACAGTCAGCTGGTGTGTTCCCAGTATGTTCAATCTTTTGTGATGTACAGCGTCACACTCCATCAGTATGTGATGGGATGTTTCTGGTTCTTCCTCACAGAATCTGCAGGTGCCGTCCTCCTGTAAGCCTAGCTTCCTTAGGTGTTCTTTGAGTCTGCAATGCCCCGTTAGAAATCCCGTTATTGCTTTGAGACTTCCTTTGCTGAGGTTTGTCAGTGTCTTAGATCTTTCTCGGTTGAAATTTCCAAGGAGATCTTTAGCCTGCCGTAGTCCTGGAAGTCTTCTCCATTGTCTGGCTCTCCAGGCTCCTTCCGCCTTCTCAAGTTCTCCTTGGAAATAGGAATTTCCAAGGCCGCAGAATGGCTCTGGTCCGATCAGTGGCGTTGAAGCCCCTTGTCGTGCCAGAGTGTCTGCTTGTTCATTCCCCTCCACTCCAATATGCCCTGGCACCCAGAGGAGGATCACTTTATTGTTGCTGCCTAGCTCATTCAATTTGCTTAGGCATTCCCATACCATCTTCGAGTTGATGTAAGGAGAGCTCAACGCTTTGATGGCTGCTTGGCTATCGGATAAAATCGCGATGTCCTTCTTCCGGTATTTCCTGTCTTAATAGGTTGAACTGGATGCATCTTCTTATGGCGTTTATTTCTGCTTGAAAAATGCTGGGGAATTGTCTCGTGGATTCGAAGTATTTGGTGCGAGGCCCAAAGACTCCTGCTCCAGTTCCCTCGGGTGTCTTAGACCCGTCCGTATACCAAGTAATGGTGTTTCTTCCTAGTGATTCGATATGGATTCTATGCTCCATTCGCGCACATGTTTATATGAACTTTATTTCTTTGAATTTTTTTTCTTTCGGTGTTATTTAGATACACCCTGTATTTTATGAACTGCCCTCAAAAATACGGTCACTGAACCAACTATCTCACTCTTACACCTAGTACCGATATGCTCAAATTGAAATTTGATTGAGAATTCCTACCACAGCAACGTTATTGATGGATCAATCAACCTGTAGTTGAACTAACGTCAATATCAGGGCAACGTTTAGGGAGAATATCAAGCTTGAAATTCAGGGAAAATTATCAGGACAACGTTTAATAATTATAGATTTTTCATCGTCATAAGTTTTCCTTCCATGTATTGATAAAACTGGAAATGACACTCGACCCCAAAAAAGTGAGAAAACATTTCCTGAGATAAAATTCATCAAGGCGTGAAAAGCCCTCGACGTTAGAGTTAAGAAGGCACTTTTCTACCCTAATAAGGGACGACTACAGAAATGCGCCTGTCGAAGAACAGTGTTTGCTCTAATTCTTTGTGCCTTGCTAGCTCTCTTTTTTCTTTCCGATGGAAATCTTCTAGCGGAAAAATCGAACTATCCAAACGAGAGGAGCTTTGGGGAACATTATACCTTAGATTCCTTAGAAAAACAACTTCGAAAAATTCATAATTACATAATAATGATAATGATGAAATCATTTCAGTATTGGAAAGAACTATCCTCAGATGAATTATGAACATGAAGAAATCGATATACAGGGTGTTTCCTAACTACGGTTCCTAACTACAGGGGGTGATTTGTTAGGTCATTTCAAGAAGAAAAGTTCCTATGAACATATGTCCGGAGTTGCTTCGTTTCTGAGATACAGGGCGTTAAAATTAAAGAAAACATACGGTAATTATAAAATATCATGAATATTCTGAAACCGATATGGTTGAAATTTGGTACCTTTATTTGTCAAATTTTCTAAAATTCCAGCATATCAAGTGTCAATAAAATTTTTGGCGGAAATAATGAAAAACTCATTTCTCCAATGTAGTTGTTCATGATATGCAATACGGTAGCTTTTATTTTTTTTCTCGAAAACGAAGCTGGATATGAAGAAAATGCACGAGGCTTAAAAGTTGTATTTTGAGTTACTCAATCTAAAGAAAATAAAAATTTACCAAAAAAAGTCAGTGGCGTACT